CCTGATGGTAAGTAATTATCGCTGCCCATCAACACCCAACATTCAAGACTCGCGTTGCCGCTCTTTCAGTTGTTCCCATCAGAATCAGGGGGAGAGGGGAGGGTTAACCGAACCTAACTCATTCAGTAAAAATCAACGAAAGAACTGGTTTACACCGTTTTCCTGGGAGGCCGTGGTATTACTCCGGTTGAGCCTGTCATATACATATTGGCCAAAGCATGGCTCAGCCACTTATGTAGTTCTTTGAGTTTATATGTATCTAGCGCATTTAATTAAGGAATAATACTGTATTATTTAAAATAGCTTCGTAATTAACCCATTGTTGTTTTGTAATATGCAAAAGATAATAATGGTTACTGTAGATTATTCATTAGAGATAAACGTCTATCATCACGGTATTTTTTCTTAATCTTTTAAAGATATACAATTCTGAAATATATTATTTTGATCTGTCTTGTACGGTTTAGCCAGCGTTTATCCAATATAAACGCACAAAAACATATTTTTGACAACTTTCCCTCACAAATCTTAAAAATCCTAGGATTTTCTCTACTGTAATATGCATGTATTATACATATAAACCTTCCTCTTGAATCATCTCTATTGGTAATAACCGTATTAAAATCTAAGCGTACAAAAAAAAAAGCAACTTTATTTGATACCATCTAACCCCTTGAACGTTTGATTTGTGATATATGACACATCTGTAGAGAAAATGTTGATCGTCGAGTCTTTTCATCGTCGATCTCATGGCTGGTTCTCAAGCTCAGTCACTTAGTGTGCTCGTCCAAGGGCTATACTTGACGTTTCTTTAAGGGACCGCACCAGGAATGAGGTGAACCGACAGAGAATCAAGTTCATTGACATACCCCACCAGATCCGCAAGCTGAGGTGGCAGTTTCCTTGCCGTATTAGCCACAGAGCTTACCGTTGCGGTAAGCGAGTTCTTGAGTGGAGACCTCATCTCGGCAAACGTAGTTTAGGACACCTACAGGCCAGGTGGAGTATTGACATGCGCAAGATGGCTGATAGGAGCTGGATATGAGAAGCCCAAATTGATCTACGTGGCGTTCAAAGGGGGAAAAAAAAAGAGACCTATGTATGTCCAGCAGTGGACTGCGATAGGCTGATGATGATGAAATATAATGATTAGTAGTGTGGTAAAATTTGGGTCAAACTATGAAAGAAGTAACGTTGACTGGTAAGTGGAATATTGTTTGTCATATTGTTTTTTAAACCTGTTTGTTCAACATTAAATTACCTGAATAATATGTATAGTATTTATGTATTAATATAGATTAGTAGGATTTAGGTATGTAAAATAAATATTTCATAGGTTAAGACCTTATTTATTTCTCTAATTTCTGTATACCTATCACCAGTTCATAATGAATCCATCCAAAGATGGCCTGGAAGAAATTGCACTAAGCGATAAGGGCCGCCCTTTGTACATTACATCTGTTGTTAATTACTTTATAATGTCTGTAAAACCCTGGTGTACAAATAAAGTATATATATATATCTATCTATCTAAATAAATACAGAAAGAAAAATGTAGGTTTTAATGTTAAAACGGTTTTTGGGAAAAAGGAATTAGTCTTTAAAGAATTTTATTTTTTCACGATCATTGCGACTTATGTATGTACGTGCTCCATCTAACTGTTGAGATTTGTTTACTTTCATTTTTATGTATTTAAAACATGTATTAAAAATATAAAATAATTTCAAATGAAATTAAATTTCTACTAAAATCGAATAAAAAACTTAAAAAAAAGAAATAGATAAAATACAAAACTATATTTTATTCACAATACATTCATATCACATAGTTCAGTCGTCTCACGAAAAATAATAAATAGTGGTAGTAATAATAGGAACATTACAGACTTAGTGGTGGTAATCATTGCCATGCTGGGGAGCAGGGTGTACAGAGGGGGCGGAGTTGTGTACAATGGCGTTGAATCTGAAACGAACAACCATTAGTTAGTTGATAAAAAGTGAAATCTTGTTTCGTATTGAATCTTTGATGTTATAATCAATCACCTACCCCTTGTGGTCATTAGCGGAATATTCGACTGAACGGACTGAGCCGTCCGGTTGAAGCAGAGAATAGTAGCCATGGACAGAGTCACCGTCGCGGATCTCGTGTTGAGACTTGTGGTCACCGGTGTGAGGGTCGGCCACGGAGTATGAGAAGTCGTATTTAGGGTGAGCCTAAAGGTATTAAATAAAATATTAGATAATATCTAAAATAACCTGGAATTGTCATAGTAAGGTAGAAATTTATATGATTATTTCTTACATAAGTGTCGTGGCTGTCGTTATCAATTGTGTGTCGTGGGATATATATCTAGCAAATATATCTAGGAAATAATATGTAGCGTAACGTAACAAAAAGAAAATTCATATGACCATTACTTACGTAAGTGTCGTGGCTTTCGCTGTGAATTACTGGGGCACCGTAGTGAGCATCAGAATTAGCGTAGTGGATCGCGGGTGCATCATGAAGAACGATGTTATGGGAAGGTAAAGAATGGGCATTACCAAGCAGACCAGCGTTGGCAGCAGCCAAGAGCGCACTGAGAGCTACGATCTGGAAATATAAGGACAACGAATTAACACAAAGTATCTATACAAACCTTCGGTTAGCAAACGTTAACTGCCACAAAAATATATCACACTTACTTTGCTGAACATTTTAGTGTTGATGATTGATGTTAAAAACCCTGCTGTTTATAGTTTTATAATGCTCGGCTATTACAAATGTCAGCGGGTAAGTAGGTGGGGTAATTAAATATATGCACGCATTTGTTGCGTGTATTAAGGTCACTTTGGTTAACATACTCAGAATAGCGGCAAGTTTTTAATTTTATATTTCTATTCCAATTTAAACAGAAAATAAAAAAAAGGTTTTAAATGAAATAATTTAACGGAGTTATTAAGCATGTTCAGTTCAGTATTCGATTAACGTTTTTTAAGCAGCTAGCAAGTGAACAGTGCTCGGAGGAATATTTACTTGTCGATTTACTAGTTCGTACATACACAGAGAGATTCGAAAGTATATACATATTTATATTGCCAAAGAAATGCTATCGCGGCGAAATCGTGCAGATACTCACCGGTAATTAAGTAATTGGTTTAGAATTTATTTTTGTTTATGTTAAGTATTGTGTGTGTTATGTTTTTTTCTCTTTCGTGAAGAGTTTTTCTTTTAACTATTTCTACTTCATGAAAATGTCTTTTCATTCATTCTTCAAAATGTCATGAAACTCTGTTATTAGCTTAAACATATTGTGTAGGTGTCACAATAATCATGTGTGAAATGTAAACAAGCAGTTGAGTTTCTTATCAATAAATAAATAGTGTTTCTAAAAAAGTACACCAGGGATCAGCATAAAGCTCATTTTTGTTTAGTCTCGTCATAGACTACCACACTTAAGAGATAGAGCAACCCCCACTATACCAACCCCTTAGAAAGTATGGAACTTGAGATCAATAGACAGAAGACTGATAACATGCACTGGAAATTTGCTAGTCTTGTCTTGCTGAATAGTCATACTGTCAGCTGTATTTAACAGTTCTCTCTGAATAAGTAAATGAATACTAAGTTCCATATGTTCTTTTAATAAGAATTATTATATGTATTAATAAATATTACCTCTGCTCTGAGACAAAGACTTGTCAAGATGATCAACACACGCGTTCGACGTAGTATCAATGCATGCAGCAATGGAATGGTCACTAATTTAAGATCATTAGTTCGACGATAGTCATTCACTCGACCGCGCATTCAAATGTGTTTAGCTACTGAACCCAATTCCAACTGCTTTCCAGCTTTCAGAATTAGAAAAAAAATGCAAGGATCATTCCTCCCATGCATTCAAGCATGTAAAATAAGTGTTACAAAGGAGAGAAATCATAATCGTGACGAGTATATATAAATTGCTTAAACTTTGTGTTGAGATTTTCAAAGTAATCAGAAACATGGAGATTAAGCATACTAGTTCTGATTTATAAAAGGTAATAGTAGGTACTATGAGTGTATTAATTACGGTGAAATCAAACTCTTGTTCAGTACCATAAAGCTTTTTGTAAACGTTACTGAAAGCTGTCTAAAAGCCAAGTGCGTTTTGTCAAAAACCATTACGGATTCGTGCCTGCGTAATCAATTATTGATCTGATGTTTGCATTAATTGCATGTTATGAGATTAATTGCAATAATTGCCAAAGATTATCACAGCAATTAACACCAGTTACAACCTAAGGGTTTCATACTGATTGTTGAAAAGACTCAGAGACAAACGATATCAGCACAATTTCCATCGATAGGCAATTTATATCTGGGGAGTATGATAGGTACATATTTCTAGGACCGTTGAGTATACTCAACATCAAATAGTCGCAGCGTAGATCAATATGAGAATAACATGTGAAGATACCTGCGATAAAAGAATGCTATCTAAAATCAAACAAATAGGACCACCATTAGACCAGTTCATGTGTGACAGTGAAACTTGGCCTGTGACAACAAAAAGTACAACGAGCGCTACAATAATCTACCGTATAAAGAAGATAGAGAAATATATGTTCAATAGAAATAAATAACCTTTGGGACTATTACTAGTCTGTGATCGTTCTTTTTTTATTAAGTACTAGAAAAAAATCACGATATTTTTTTTGTCATGTAAGAAGGTTCCTTATAAGAACGCAAAAGTATATATCATCAATAGAATTTACTTTGATAGTATAGCTGTATAGTGAGTTGAAAATATATCCCTCTATTAGTATTTCGTTCCTATAGCTAATAAAATAGTGTGTAACATAACAGGCTTATCATTTTACGATGAAAAATTTATAACGCAAGTAAAGGATTTTATTTAAATAAATAAAAATAACTAAGGTTGAAGATAAAAATCACAGTTTATTTACATCTCATTCATCTCACGTTGATCACTCGTCTCACAAAAAGTAATAAATATTTAGTAACACACATCGAGAACTTAATAGTGGTGGTAAGCATGTCCATGGATGGGGGCGGGATGTACAGCAGGAGCGGAGTTGTGTACAACAGCGTTGAATCTGAAAAGAGTAATATGTTATGTTAATACACTGGTTTTTGATTAAGATCTTAGTCTGAAGAAGCATAGGGACGACGCCTTACGTGACAATGATAACTTACCCATTGTGTGCATCAGCGTTGTATTCGACCTTGCGGACAGAACCGTCAGGTTGGAGCAGAGAGTAGTAGCCATGGACGGAGTCACCGTCGCGGCTCTCGTGCTGAGACTTGTGGTCACCGGTGTGAGGGTCGGCCACGGAGTAGGCGAAGTCATATTTGGGGTGAGCCTAGAACACCAAAAAGCTTATTAGGCTTGAGGTCTCGTATAATACAACTCACGCTATAACACTAATATTCGAATGCAAGTTACTTACATAGGTATCGTGACCGTCGTAGTGAGCTACAGGGGCAGCATGTTGGGCGATAGGGGCGGCGTAGTGGACAGCGGGAGCAGCGTAGTGAGCCAAGGGAGCGGCATAGTGTATTGGTTCGTCGTGACGAATGATGTTTTGGGAAGAGATGGCGTGGCCATGTCCCAATAAACCAGCGTTGGCAGCGGCCAACATCGCACCGAAAGCTACAATCTAGAAATTAAAGGTAGGATTTTGAAATAAGAACGAGAACATTTTTGGACTCTTCACAAGTCCGAAGATCAAGTGTATGCATTTTTAAAAGAACTGAAAACGAAGAATACCTAATAATTCAACGTTTAAAAAAGTTGACCTAAATTAAGCTACCTCCATCCAGTACAGTCTAGTATATATGTTACGATACATATTATGGCATGAAAAGTGTACATAATACGGATAAAGGTATGCTAACTAATGAAATAAACAAAATAAATTAAAGCCTGTGAAACTATGATCAAAATTCGTTCTCCTGGCGATCTCTAGTAAATATCAATAAACTGCAATTACGAAACACACTTACTTTGCTGAACATTTTGTTGTAGTCTTTGCTACGAGCCAGTGTTGATTGATATCAGAGGTCCCGTGGTTGATAGTTTTATAGTAAAGGTGGTTGTGAGTGCAAGCTGGTGGGGCGAAGAAATGTGTGAGCGCGCACTTGACTCTGTACGCTTTGACATGTTATCAAGGTTGCAATACCGGTACTGACAAAATATTATCGTGAGCTTTAAGTCTTATTTAATATTTTATGATTTACAATGGTTATACACACAATCATATACATTTCGTGTTTCGTATTTACATATTCCACAGATCGCAAGGCTTTCGAATTTAGACCGTTTTAAATGTCTATGACCAGTGTAACTTAAACTGAAATTTAAAAAACTTTGTATTACGACAGTTCAAAATATAAACTACATACTTATACTTTTATGTATATGTATAGCATTTTTCACATTATTTTTACTTTATAACACTTCTACGTATATCAAAGAATTTTCTTCACATGGTAATATAGAGATCGTAAAAAAATCTTAGAATTTCTATTTCCACTACAAAAAAATTATTACAAAATATAGAAATGTACAAGTATTACAAATATTGATGATGATTACTTGTAGTAATGATAGTGTATAATGCTTGAATGAATATTATTTGTAATTTTTACAAATAATTTGTATGTATTCTTTTAATTAATAATGCCTTGTGGTCCGTATATCTTCAGATGTAGTATAGTACATAAGCGTCTTGGTTGTGAGACTGTAAGCTTATAATGTTAAATAAAAAATAAAATAAAAAGGTGTCACTTAAACATAAGCCTAATCGTATTTGTTAATATATAAAGACAATTTAAGCCGTTAACTAGACTTTTGTTGGGTTGTAAGAGTTATGTGCTTAGAAATGCATTACTGAACTGGTAATAAATGAACCTCAATTAATTATTAAATTACGGCTAATTTTATTTTCTATCTAATCAGGAACTACAAACTATATTGATTGACGAAATATAGGTCTGCAATAGAATATCTAGTTTAAAGTACTTGTTGCAAAGTAACAGACTGGTATAACAGGAACCATCTGTTGGTAATATAACGCAAAGACACGAACACAGATTAATAGAGTCATTGAAACTAAATCTATACAGATAAATAAAATTACAATGTCTGTTTTTAATGCCAAAAAATTTTTTCCTCTCAGAAAAACCCTATAAAATTTTGCCCGCACGTACCGTACTACACCACTAAGGCAGCGCCTCAAATTCCACGCCGACGAAGTGCAGGAGCACAAAGGGGGCATAGTGGTTCCCGCCCAGCAGGGGGTCATCTATAGCCGATAGATGGCCTGAGGTACGTCAGGTATCAGGGATTTCCTTCTTGGGTACCCCTGGTTACCCGGCCACTGGCAACCGAGACGGCGTGCGGTTTTTGGTCGGTTCGAGTCCGATATAACTACCGGTGTGTGGTATCCGAGGGGATTTCCGCTCAGAAAAAAAGAAGTGTAGCAACGTCAAACAGTTATCGCTATAGAAGAATATGGCAAGTGAGTTTTTCGTAGAGCTGAAGAATCTAAGATCATAAACATATTTATGTATAGGTATATCTATTTATATGTATAACACATATCATAGCAGTAAATGTAGGTATTTGTTTGAATTAAATTAAATTATTCAATTTATTTCTAAGTAGACATGACTTTGCTCATTTGTTTTCTACTATCCTAGAAGATACGAGTGAATGGATTCACTCGTAAGTTTCGCTGAATAAAAACTCAGAATTAGGTTAAGTTTGCCTTTATACCTAACATTTCCTTATTACTTAAATCTACGTGAATAAGTAAGATGAAATGAAATCAGTCAGCAAAATCATCGACAATATAAAGTTTACCATTAATATTAAATTTACTCTTAATTGCTACCGATGCGATGTACAAACTATATTTTTGTTTGCAGAAAAGTGCTATTTGAGCAAGAGTTGTATTTGGCCAAGAGTTTTGCAGAAATCAGTTTTGTGGGTACCATCACTGGTATCCCAATATGGCATTTCATGTAAAAGCCTTGATGTGCACCAAAATGTAATGAAAATTATATAAAAAATAGGGACGTCTATAGCATAAATAACAGAAGTAAAGATTAACTGCTAAACTAGGTCCAAAAAACTTTACTAACTTTAGTCAAACAAACACATTATTGTAAGTACTACACTGTAGACAATTTGAATGATGAAAATGTAATTAAATTGCTCTAATTGGTTTGTATTTAAAGATAATTTTATAATTAAAATTATTTAAGTAACTAAATGTAATGCAACTACTAAATTGATTGTTTTTTTTTTAAATATAATTATCATTAATTTGGCCGTTATTTTTTTACTTCACTGGTAACTGCAATAAAGATGTTAAAATATAAATTAGTATGTTTGGTTTAATTATTAAAATCTAGGTGACGACTATATCGTAAAATAATGTCGGTTTTGAAAAAAATACGAAATTCAGTTTTACCATATTTACATACTATATTGTCTAAATATGATAACTATAGTCAAGAAAAAGTTAAATGTATTTTTTTTAAATTATTCAGTGTTTGTTTGATAGGCGCTCAAAGTAAAATGAAGCATGTGATTTCTAGAAAATTGTATATTAGTTATTTATTATTAGTTGTTATTTTTATTTTATTTTAAAATTAACCCTATTTTAAACTTGTATGCCAATTTTCATACGTCAATGACAGGAACCTCCTCACTATATGGGCAGTGGCTTCTGCATCAGACCCTTGATCCAGCCATCTAACGTGAACCTCTTTAGGTGTTGTAGGTCAAGGCTCTTGGCTATCAATCCGTGAGGAGATACAACTATCGGAACAATGATCGTCGAATCCACATTCCACATATCGAAAATCTCCTTTAGGCAGAGCGAGTGCATCCGGCATCCACTGCAACTACATTGCGATGCACTTCCACATCAGTATGTAGAAAATATTCTCTGAGATTTTAAATCTCGCGATTTTGTAGGGTCTTTATATTTAATAGTCCGCGATCCCCGACCCCGTCCCGACTTTCGCGGAATATACTCGTACAATCTCATTACCGATGAACGTGGGTGGTGCATTCGGAATGCAATTAGTAGTGTACAGACTCTCCTGTCAAAGGTATCTAATCCAGTCTGAGTCCATCTAAGTAGTCCAAAGGAATTACCCAACTATTGCAGGGTCGCACCTTGTTGCCCCTAGACAAAAAACTTTTAAGTACTTTTTTCAGGCGGCCAAAAAAGTGTTCCTGCAACGTTTCTTTCATGTCAGATTCTCGTATTCCCACTAGTGACATAGCTAGATACTTGTAGGTTTCAGTAGCAGACAGAGATCTAAATTTTGTTGAATCTGAAAGCTCTTTTCCTTCAGATTCTACATTCAAGCCTTTCTTTAAATACATGACTGCACACTTGTCTACATCAAATTCCATCTTGATAGAATTACTAAAGTTTTTCGTCACCTTTAGTAACGCTGTCAATTGTAATTTAGTGGGGGCTAGTAATTTCAAATCATGCATATAAAGAAGGTGACATATAATTTGATCATCTTTCTGCAACCTATAGCCTAACCCTGAACCCTCTAATAGAGTGCTAAGAGAGTTCAAAGCCAGACAAAACCACATGGGACTCAGACTATCATCTTGAAATATACCCCACTCGATTTTTATTAGTACATCGTTTACCGCAGTCTGCCGACATTCTGGATAGCAAAGTGCTGTTTTCCATTACCCCATACATGACTCCAAGAAAGTGCAGAGAGTTGTATCAATGTTATACAACACCAGCACCTTCAAAAGCCACGTATGTGGAACCGAGTCACAAGCCTTCTTATGGTCTATTTAAGATGTTGCCAAACTCTTACGATAACGACGTACCTGTTGGCTAATGGTCATGTCTATGATAAGGAGCTCTTTAGCGCCACGCAACCCACTTCTACAACCATTCTGAGGAGCTTACCTAATCGAATTATTATTAATGTGTTAAGTATTTTTTTTGTATCAGAATAGATGTTAGAAGTTTGTTGGTAAACATATGATAGGTCTAAAATTTTTGGGATCCATGACACTACCAGACTTTTAAAATAAGTGGGTTATGCCAGTGGTTAAAAATTGGGGTAATGAACCCGAACACGCATGTGAGCTTCGGAACCACTAAAGCCAAAAGTTGTGCAGTCCCGTCTGGACCAGGTGATTTCCAATTCGGTTATGAACGGACTGCACAGCTTACACCATCTTCATCAATAGTAACAGGTTCCATAGGTGTGATAGACTCACTCACTTTTTTTTTCAATACTTTAATTTGTTTTATGTTTTCCTCTTTAGCTTAATGATTATGAAAACCTCATAGAAGTTAAAGTATGGCATAAAAATAACTATCAGATAAATTCGTCTGTCGGGTTTTGATTTTTATATAATCCTCAAACTAAAAGTATTCAATGTAAATGAAAGGCTTAAACTTGTTATTAGTGTTACATTATATTTAGTAACCTCATGCCTAATATCTTTTTTATAAGAATAATTATTTACACAAAATTTACTATGGAAGAGAAGGTTTAGTAATGATAGCCATGCCCGTAGCTCTGGGGATGCACTGAGGGCGCGGAGTTGTGTACAACGGCATTGAATCTGGAAATAAACAAAAGAGCATGTTACGATATTTTTTAAAGGAATGAAATAATACTCGAATTTTGAAAGATGGATTATAGCTTACCCGCTGTGTGCATCTGCCTTGTACTCCACCTTGCGGACGGAGCCATCAGGTTGAGCCAGAGAGTAGTAGCCATGGACAGAGTCACCGTCGCGGCTCTCGTGCTGAGACTTGTGGTCACCGGTATGAGGGTCAGATACGGAGTAGGCGAAATCGTATTTTGGGTGGGCCTGCAATGATGATACATCGATATAGAACGCCTTAAATCTAAAAAACTGTATGTTTTTGTAGTAAGTTAGATATGGAAAAACTTACGTATGAGTCATGGCCGTCGTAGTGAGCTACAGGTGCAGCGTAGTGGGCAAT